CACAATAAAACCAAAAGCATGGAGCTGGCGGTGGTGGCGCACGCCTTAAATCCCAGCACTAGGGAAGCAGAGGCAGGCGATCTCTGTGAGCTGAGGCCAGCCTGGTCTACAGAGCGAGTTCTAGGATAGCCAGGGCTACACAGAGAAACCCAAAAACCAACCAACCAACCAACCAAACGAAAAAACCCAAAGGCACAGAAGGTAAAGAACAGACTGTCTGCAGGAGCTGCACCTGGTTACACACCCCTGTATCCCAACACTCAGAGAAGCTGAGGCTGGAGCATGACCATGAGTGCCAGGCCAGTTCCTGGACTACAGAGTGGGACCCTATCTCAACAAAACAGAATGGACAAAAATCTAGAGGGCAGCTACACCTGGGTAGGGGAGGCGGATTCTGGTGGTCTAGATTTTTCTGCACTTTCCAATGCTTCTACAAACATTATAAATCACTTTTTTGTTGCTCTATAGTCCTGGCTGGCCTGGAGCTCACAGAGACCAATCTGCGTCTGCCTTCAGAGTGTTGAAATTAAAGGCATGCACCACTACACTTAGCGATAAGATTTGTTTTATCTTTTATATGTGAATATGTGTGTGTGTGTGCGTGCGTGCGTGTGCGTGTGTGTGTGTGTGTGTGTGTGTGTGTGAGAGAGAGAGAGAGAGAGAGAGAGAGAGAGAGAGAGAGACAGAGAGAGAGCTCTGTAGAGGCCATAAGCGGGCATCAGATCCCTCGGAGCTGCGATTTCAGGTGGTTATGAGATACCCAATATGGGTGCTGGGAACCAAACTTAGTTCCTTGCAAGAGCGGCAGGCCCTCTTAACTACTGAGCCACTGCGCAAGCAGCCCTTGTTTTCTGTGAAGTTTGTGGCTGTTGTTTGAGAGAGGGTCTCTTACTGTCCTGGGGTTTGCAGAACAGGCTAGGCTGGCAGGTGAGCCCCCGCGATCCACCCAGATTGGCCTCTCCAAGCACTAAGATTATGTGTGCCATCATGCAGTGTTTTTTAACATGGGTTCAGGGGTCCAATTCAGGTCACTGTGCTTGTTCAAGACCAGCCGTCTCCACAGCACAGGGATGCATGTCAGACCAGAACACGGCTGCTTGTACCAGTCCTGGCTCGCCCAGGCTCGCCGACTCTGCCCTGACTCCGCTAGGTTGGGTGAGTGGGGTGGTGTTGGTGGAGGGGACTGGATTCCAGGTCTTTTGGTCCATTCTGCCTACCTCTCTCAAGCCTGGGTGTCTGTGGAGAGGGGCTTGTCCCACTCTTCAGCTGGAGAAATTAATCCTGCTCTGCTGAGAAACATAGGCCTCACTTGATGCTAAAGAGGTCTTCCCGCTCTGCCTCTGCCTCCAAGGAGCGCGCCATGATTTATCATCAGGCTTACCAGCCTCAGCAGACACAGCCTGGTGACGTGAGCTGCACACCTGCTAAGGTCTTACATCATATTTCATCTCCGACACTGTGTCGCCAGAGCACAGGGGCCTGTGGCACTCACCCTTGGGTACCGGGACCATTCTAGAGTTCGTCAGCCCAAGTCCTTTACCCCAGGGACTTGAGCCCGCTGGGTCCTAGCCTGGTGCTTCTCTGCCCACAAGGCTGTATCTCCTTGGTCACATGTTGTTTTGAGCCTCACTCTGTAGCCCAGGCTGGCCTTGAAGCTGAGGTGATCCCCCAACCCGTTTCAGCTTCCTGAGTGCTAGGCACCTGAACATACTGAGTCAAAAAGACACCACAGAGCCTAGAGCTGACTGTGAACGTGCACCGTACACACAGAGCCAGGCCGCACAACCATGATTCACCACGCTAGGGCCAGAACCCAGGGCCTCACAGCACTGGACAGCTGCTCTGCAACCGAATACACCCCAGCCCCTCACTGGGGGGTTCGAGGCAGGGGCTCCACCACTGAGCCACGCCCCAGCCCCTCATTGGGGGGTTCGAGGCAGGGGCTCTACCACTGAGCCACACCCCAGCCCCTCACTGGGGGATTCTAGGCAGGGGCTCCACCACTGAACCACACCCCAGGCCCTCACTGGGGGGTTAGAGGCAGAGGCTCTCACTGAGCCACACTTGCAGCACAACATCTGACAGGACACCCAGCACACAGTATGAGGAGGTTCACGATGCTCTGGCAGTAGACCACAGTTTGAAGAACATGCTCTAGGTTACAGACAGGGCACAGGAGGCCACCACCCCAGTGAACTGTCACCACCTGTCCTATTTCCCTCATTTTTTAAATCTAAACACGTATTTCCCATGTGGATACTTTTTCACTTGCTTATTGGGGTCTCTTGCATATTTTCTGCATTGGTATTTTTAAAATTACATTTATTTCTGGACATGCTGGTGCACAACTTTAATCCCAACACTCCAGAGTCAGAGGCAGTGCGTGACCTCTGTGAGTTTGAGGGTAGCCTGATCTACATAAAGAGGCCCTGTCTCTAAAAAGTTACACTGACTTACGCATTTATTTACTTGGGTGTGTGTGTGCCATGGCTTGGTGCATGTGTGGAGGTCAGAGGACAACTTGTTGGGGGGCGGGGTCAGTTCTTTCCGTTATGTGGGTCTCTGGGTCAGGCCTGGCGGTGCACACCTTTAATCCCAGCATTTGGGAGGCAGATCTCTGTGAACTGGAGGCTAGCCTGGTCTCCATGGCATGCTCCAGGCCAACCAGTGCAATATAGGGAGACCCTGTCTCAAAAAACAAACAAGATGCGGGTCGGAGATCAAACTCAGACTTGGTGACAAGCAACTCTGCTTGCTGAACCACGTCGCAGGCCCTGAGCAGGGAGCTTTGCAAGTGTGGTTTCCTGTGTGTTCCCTTAGTGCCTGTGAGACTAAGCACTAAGCACCCACTGAAGGAGATGAAATACACTCCAGCTCCGTCTCAGTGAGGCCTGATGTAAGCTAGCTGCAGCAAGAGGGACTGCAGTGAGACACGAGGGAGGACTTCCGGGGTGGCAGTTTCCACAGACAGTGAACATAGCTTTGTCTGTATGTCCGGCAAGCAGGAGGTCCCATGACTGCCCTGGGAGGCACGTCTGGAATGGAGGGTGCCTCTCAAAGATTCCAAGGCAGGGCTGGGCGGGTCCCTGGCTGGGGGCCAGAACCTCAGAGCCGGGTGTTTAGATGGACACGGAACAGAGGGCTGGTTTCCGTAGCTGGCCAGGAACAACAGGGAAGCAAGGAGACACAGCTGGGCCCTGCAGCCTGCGCCCCTTAGTGTCAGCGGGGCTCCAGTCAACTTGGCCTTGGATCTGGGGTGAGAAGGTCCCATGGGCCCTCGGGGCAGACCCTGGCACAGTGAATCCTTGTCCTAAGCCTCAGTTTCCCCAGCTATAAGTAGCGTTGAAGCCAGGAATGGATTAAATGCCCTGTAATCCCAACTACTCAGGGGGCTGAGGCAGGAGGATTGAGGGTTCAAGGCTAAGCCAGGTGATGTCCCACACCTGATACACAGCACTCCGGAGGGGAGACGGAAGTAAAAAGGCGAGGAAGGGAGAGGAGGGCTCAGGGCTGGAATGCACAGCCCAGCAAGACTCTCAAACTCCACACACCCCAGCAGGAAAAGAAAAGAAAACCCCAAACCAACCGACCGACCGACCGACCCACAAAGGTCAACCTGATCACTGTCAGCAGAAGCAGCAGAAGCACTGCTCGAGCACTTACTGTATGCACTCTTCCCAAGGGTTCTTGAAGGGTGGATCTGTATTAGAGCCCGTCACAGGGAGGAAAGTGGGGGCCCAGAGAGGCGGAGTCACTCTGCTGGGGCCACACAGTGACGGAACCCGGGGTACCTCGGCCCATCTTCCTCAGCCCACCTTGGTGAGACACTTAGAGCAGCTGGCCCCCCTGGCCCGTGCCAAGACAGAGCAGCTGTGGCCACTCCTATGAATCATCCTGGCAGCTTCTCCTGGGCAGCTGACAATCTGTATACAGCCCTTCCTGGCACGAGGACTCAGCACTTCCTCCCGGGGCACCCCTTCCTCTTCCGAGGCCATCGGGCCCGGGGAGGGTCTCCTCTACCCTCAGGGCTAGGCAGTGGGAGGTGCACTGTTGGTTCTGCCACGGGAGGCCACTCGTGGGTTTTAATGTGGTATTATGTGAACGAAGCGGATCTGTGGAGAGGGAGCATTTTAGCTCCAGACTCCTTCACCCTCCGGAAGGCCTCACAGAACAGACATGTTGGAGATTCCACATGACTTCTGAGCACTGGATCCAGCCATGCCTGAAGCTGTCCCTCAGAACCGCGAACAAAACGCTCTACCTAGGGTTACATGTGCCAACACATGCCTGCCATTTCTTAATTCAAAGGGGAGAATTTGCCATGAAGCCAACAACCTTGGGAACCTCCTTCAAACAACTCCTGTTTTCTGGATCATTTACACCTCAACAAAGCTAGATGTTCAATTTCTTTGTGCATGTATGTGTGTATGAGTGTGTGCATGTAAGTGTGTATGAGTGTGCATGTAAGTGTGTATGAGTGTGCATGCATGTGTGTGGGCATGCATGTGTGTGTGTGAATGTGCATGCACATATGTGTGTATGTGTGTATCTGTGTGTATGTTTAGGCCAGAGGCGAACAGATGGTGGTGTTCCTCAGGTACTGCCTACCTTTTAAATAACATATTATCACCAGGCAGTGGTGGTGCACACCTTTAATCCCAGCAATCGAGAGGTAGAGGTAGGTGGATCTCTGTGAGTTCGAGGCCAGCCTGGTCTACACAGTGAGATCCAGGACAGGCACCAAAACTACACAAAGAAACCCTGTCTCAAAAAAAAAAAAAAAAACAAGAGTCAGCTCTGCCTTTCCACCCCGGACTCCACGGATGTATGGGTCATCTGTATCGGCAGCATGCTGCCGAGATTCAAGTGGGCACGACCACAGCCACGGGTGCTAGGGATCCGAACCCAGGTCCTCACACTTGTACAGCAAGTGCTTACCGATCGTGCCAACTCCCCAGGCCCCCTAGAGAGGCCCCACTGGGCCCCCAACAGTTACTCACCTGCAGTCCTGGCCACACCACTGCAACTCCGCTCTGTAATACTGATCTTCTTGGCCGTGTGCACGTGGCTGGTGGTGGCTGTGGGCAGCAGGCACATGGATTCCACCACCTCGTGGCTGCGGAACACGAGGGCGTTCTCGGTGCCCCCAGATGTGGTCAGGGCCTTCAGCCCTGCTCCATAGGGTTCCAGACTCTGGGCTCGCTGTGCAGGGGCCCCCGCTGCCGTGCTGGCCGCCACCTCCACTTCCCGAGGACCCTCCACCACCCGCACGGTGTCCACACGGACCTGGGTGTCTGGCGGTGGCCAGGCCTGGGGCGGGAGGTCGGCCTGCTGGGTCTGAGCTGCCCGCAGCTCCTGCAGCGCTTTCTTGAGCTGGGTCTCCAACACGGCCACCTTAGCCACCAGGGCAGCTTCACCATCCGGAAGGCCCAAGTCCCGTTCCCGGACCCAGGTGCCCACAGAGCGGGTCTCTAGCGCAGCAGGGTCCTCGGGGGGCTCCGGAAGGTCCAAGCAGAGCTCACTCCGGCCCCGGGTCCCTGAGGGGTGGCCTAGAAACTTCTGGCTCTTGAGTTGCACCGTGAGCTGTCTCTTCTCCTCCTGGAGCACCGACAGCTTGACCTGGAGCACGGGGATCAGCTTGACCTGCTCCTCCAGCTGGCGCAGCTTGCGCAGGGCCGCGGCCATCTGCTCGCGCACGTGGGCCAGGTGACCTGCACTGGGTGGCACCGGGGTGGACAGGCCGGAGCTGCGAGGCGTGGGCGGCAGCAGGCCCACGCCTGCCAGGGAGCTGGTGGAGCCCGCGGCACTGGGCGTCAGGGAGCCCAGGCCACCCGACGGGGCGGCCGCCTGGTCCTCCAGCCGGCGCCGGGCGTCCAGCAGCGTGCGCTCCACACGTGGGTTGGAGCCGCCACGGGTCTCCAGGGCCCCGTACTGTGGGTAGAAGCCACGGCCACAGTAGGAGTAGGCCGAGTGCCGGCTGTCCCCGCTGGCGTCGGAGCACAGCGACTCCGTGGACGTCCACCAGGAGCCCGGGCCCCGCGGCAGGGAGCCCAGGCGCGGCCGGCGCTGCACGGGCACCCTGCGCAGTGTGTGGCCCTTCTCAATGTCATCCACGTACTTAAGAAAGTCCAGGTCCAGGCGGTAGCCATAGGGCGTCTCCACAGAGTATGGTGGGTCTGGCTCTTTGCTGGGGAAGGTTGCTGGGGAGGCCTGGCCAGGAGTCCCTGGAGAGGGGAAAGCCAAGGCCTTAAATTAGCACCGCAGGGCCCCTCTCTGCCCGGCTGACGGCCCAGGGACAGAGGTAGCTTCTGCCAGAGCTGGGAGCCCACCCTAGATCAACAGGGTCTTGTCTGGCCCTGTCACCCATCGATGACAAGGTCAGGGATGTCCTTCCCCACTCACATTAGGGCTGACCTCTCCCCTCGGACTGGCGGGCAGAGCCCTCCCCCCAACCCTCCCCACCTGCCCCTGACCTGGGAACGGGGCAGGCACATGCAGGACCTGGGCCATCCTCTCTGCTGTTGCTCCACAGGTGCCACACAGCCGGCTGTGAGTCACACTGCCTGCAGCGAGCTGCGGCTGACCTGCAGAGGTTGACAGAGCAGTCTCAGGAGTAGTCTTCAGGGAGAAGGGAGGGGATGTGGCGCCCTCCCTGCACAGATGGCCTCCCTCACACAGGTCAGGCACCTCTCATATACTTAAACACTCAAGCTCCCCTCCCTACCCGCGCCTGGCTATAGAAAGTCCTAGAACAAAGAAACCAAACCTCCCTGCCTGCGTGCACATCTGTCCAGGCCTGGACAGGCTCCAGCTGTTCCCACAGCCTCCACATGGCCCCCAGGGCAGGGGGCCGCACCCTTCCTGTGCCCCCTCCCCTAGGCCCATCTTGGAGTGTGCACAGGGAGAGCTGGGTAAGGGTAGGTAGAGAGGGCTGGGATGCTAGCACGGTCACAGTGGGGATCTCAGATGGGGGGCAAGAGACAAAACATGGAGGGTGGGACCCCTCAGCGACCCCAAAGCTGAGAGCCAGGCCAGGCCCGTGGAGGGGCAAAGTAGTGAGGATACAAGCTGTGAGAAGCCTTCCTCTTTATGGAAACAATTTTCTCTAAAAATAAACAGTTTCTCTGCCCGGCTACATAGAACTTCCTGCCCCCTCAGGATGTGTCCGAGCTGGGAGGGTAGGGGGGTGCAGTAGGGATAGAGTTGGGTGGAGGACAGGGAAGTCATAGAGCTGGAGAGGAGGCAGGAAAGGAAGGTGCTTACAGCCTGAGCTCTTACTAGCCCACTTCAGCCTTGGAGGTCAGCCAGGGTCAGTACTCTCTGTTGTCTGCCCTTCAGCCACCTTGCTGCAGACACCTCCACCCACCTCATCCTCCAGGGTAGACCATTCTAGGCTGTGGATGCCAGGGCAATGGGTCCCTGGGAGGATGGGGCAGGTGGAGCACCTGTTGGGCATGAAGGCAGGTCTGGGATGCTCTCTCCCTCCTGCTTAGTTTCCCTCCATGTCCCTGCCCCTCAGTCCGTGTCTCTCCACGGCTCTGCCCTTTGCTGTGCTGGCTTGAACACCTGGAATGCACAGTGGCCAATTGTAGGAGAAACTGGTTCTGCATCTGCCTGGAATCTCAGTCCCTCTGGCTCAAAATATTTTCTGGGGACCTAAGAGAGACACAGAAGTCGGGAGCAGTATTGGGATAGCCCGAGGTAGGGGTGCTGAGATGGAATGAATAAAATTAATAGTTATAACACCAACTTGCTTTGTGTTGTTTGTTTGAGACCTGGTCTCATGTTGCCCAGGCTGGCTTCAAACCCCACTATGTGGCTGAGGATGACCTTGAAATCCGGCTCCTCCTGCCTCTACCTCCCAAGCGCTGGGCACTGCTGGTTGTACCACCACACCCAGTTACGCCATTCTGGGGATGGAACACCAGGTTTCACACATGCTGGGCATGCGTTCTACATCCCCAGTCCTGCTTCTGTTTTTAAGAAAAGAGCTTGTGCCGTGGGGGCGCACGCCTTTAACAGCAGCACTCAGGAGGCAGAGGCAGGTGGATCTCTGTGAGTTCGAGGGCAGCCTGGTCAACAGAGTGAGTTCCAGGACAGCCAGAGCTACACAGAGAAACCTTGTCTCCAAAGACAAATAAAAAACAAAACACAAAAACAAAGAAAAAGAAAGAAAAGAGCTTGTTATACAGCCTAGGCCAGCCTCGAACTCACTAACTCTCTGGCCTGAGCCTCTCAAATGCTGAGATTGCAGGGCATCCTCCAGGACTCCAGGTGATACCGCCTACTCTCAGTTGCCATGACAACCCCAGGAGGTAAGCCCTCACCCAAGTTTATCACCGAGGGTGAATCTTGCCCAGGGTCACTTGGGCAAGATGTGATGGTGGGCCTGGACTGAACCTAAGTGTGGCAGATTCGCCAAGGCACCTCCGAACTCCGCACATCTCATTTCCCAGCGATTGAGGGATTGAGGTCTAAGGGTCCCCAGTCATCTGACGCAGGCGGGTAACTCGGTGGCAGGGGAGGGAAGAGGCCCCTCTCTCCCTACAAGATCCCGGGATGGGGGTGGTGGAAGAACCAACAGGTGGGAGTTCTCAGAGAAGGGCCACAGGGTCTCTCCAGAGTGCACCTCCCCATCAGCCTGGGCGGATCTGGGGGTTTTCCTGCCTCGCTCTCTCCGCCCCCAAAGTTGGGGGTGAGCAGGACCCCGCCCCGGGCGGGGAGGGGGCGGGGCCTGCGGGGTCCCCGTCTAATGGCAAACATCTGCTGATCCCCCCCACACCCGCCCAGCAGCCAAGCCCAGCCCGGCCGGACGCCCGGATGCCTTCCCGCCGCTGAGGGGCCGGACCCGGCCACCGGGAGCTGAGAAAGGGGGAACCCGGGCATGGAAGGGGACAGAGCTAGAGGAGAGGGGAGGAGCAGAGGGAGAGAGGCAGGAACGATAAAGGAATGAAGGTGGTTTGGGGGAAAAGAAGCAGGGCCGAGGTCAGGGCTGGGGAGGGGACAGGAGCACGGGGATCCAGACGCTCCGGTTTGCAAAGTTTGGGAGCAGATGGTGAGACTTAGGAGGGACCCGCTCAGAGAGAGTGAGCTTGAGCCTCGGGTCGGAAGTGGGTTAGAAATCCCGACAGCCCCCCCAGAGTAGCTCGGACCCCACGCCACCCAGCCAGCCCTGGGTCCCACTCGCCTGGCGCGCTCCAGCCTTCGCCGTCCCAGGCGTCCTGCGCGCTCCGCCTCGGCCGCCGATACCCAGCCGGGCCAGCGCGGTAGCCACGCCCCCAGCAGAAACCCCGCCCCTCCCGCCTCCCGGGCGCCTCTGCAGCGGGGGCTGGGGGCGAAGTGGAAGGGTGGTCGTGGGGGTGCACGCACTCTCGCTGCTGCCTGCGCACGTCGTAGGGGTTCAGTCGGCCCCTGGCCACCAGCCCTCGGGACGGGGTCCCTCCTCCAAGCCTGGTGCCCGCCCTTTGCAGCTGGACGCTGCAGGGGGCGGAGCTGGACGCGGCCCAGCTGGAGGGCGGGTGCGGTGGCGGAGACTGGAGGTCACCCCTCCCCCGTTGGCCGCTGCAGGCTGGAAGCCATCCAGCTGCCGGCCGGGTGTACCGTGGCGTGACCGCCGGCCCAAGCTCAGGGATCGCACTGACAAGTAGCCCAATCCCCCGACCCCCACCTATCTCTTCCTGAGCTAGGCCTCAGTTTCCCCATCAATAAAATGGAGGCAATCACGTGACCTACCTTCAGACAATTCCCTTCACACTATTCACAGGCTGACACAAGTCACAGGGCGTGGTTTATTGATTTTGTGGGGTTGGGGGTGGCCACTAGGACTCTTTGAATGCTAGATAATCACCGTGCCGCTAAGCTGCACCCCCAGCCCAGGGATGAACCATTTTTGTTTGCATGGAACTTTCCGGAGCCCCTCTGGCTATGATCGTGCACACCTGAGTCCCAGCACATCAAAGATGTGGAGCCAGGGCTCTCAGATACTCCAGGCCACCTTCTACTACAGTGATTCTGGGCTACGTGAGACTGCCTTAAAAACACCAACGTCCAAACAGTTAACAGCAACAAAGGGAGGGGAGGGGAGGGAGGGGAGGGGAGAGGAGAGAAAGGAACTCCCCGGAAGCCTCTGGGCCTGGGACTTCATGACTCCTGGAGCTGGGGAGACATCTCAGTGCCTAAAGCACTTGCCGATGAAGGCACCGGACCTGAGTTTAGATTCCAGCAGCCATGCAAGAGTTGGGCCCCAAAGCCCATCTGCAAGCCCAATTCTGAGAGCTGGGCGGATCTCTGGGGCTCACTGGCCGGCGAACCTAGCTGGATCTGTGAGCGCCAGGTTTAGTGAGACCTGTCTTAGAAAATAAGCAGAGCACCAAGGAGAGGCTCATCAGGGAAAGGCGCCTGCTAAGGGCGGTGGTGGCGCACACCTTTAACCTCAGCACCCAGGAGGCAGAGAGTTCTAGGCCAGCCTGGGCTACAGTAGAGCTAGTTCCAGGACAGCCAGGGCTGTTACACAGAGAAACCCTGTCTTGGAAAACAAGAAAGAAGTGCCTGCTGCCAAGCCATGGCCTGGGATCCACATGGTGGAAGAGTCCTGAAAGTTGCCCTCTGACCTCCACGGGTGTGCCATGGCACACATGCACCCACATGCACATATAGATGCAAATAAATAAATAAATAAATAAATAAATGTGACAAAAAATAAAATAAAAACAAGGTGACAAGAAGCCAAGGGTAGTGGCGTGCGCCTTTAATCCCGTACTCAGCAGGCAGAGGCAGATGCATCTCTGTGAGTTCAAGGCCAGTTGGTCTATAAATTAAGTTCCAGGCTAGCCTGGGCTAGACGGTAAATACAAAACAAAACAAAATGAGGAAAGAAACTGAGGAATACACATGTATCACACATTGGTGCATGTAAACCCTCATCACGTGCACACACATGAACACACGCACATACGTACATACACACAGCACTCTTTCCCATGGACATGTTGCATTGTGTGCGCTTCAGCTGAATGTTAGCTCCCCCAGAGCAGGAACTGTGCCAACTGTCACCACACCACACAGGTTGCATATAAAACTCATTTTAAATTAAAAACAAACAAAACCAAACTTAGGATCCATCAGTGCAGACAGACAGAGGGACTGAGGGCCCAGCCGTAAGGACGATGTGGTGGCCCCATGGATGAGGGGGCAGGAGTGAGTCCAGAAAGGTACAGACAGCTGAGGTGTGGGTGCTGGTCTTCTGGGTGTGGCTTTCAGTCCTGTGGGGTCAGAGGTCAGCCTTCCGGAAACTTGATCTGTTCAGGGAGTTCCTGGGGGCAGAAGGCGGGTTAGCCACAGGACCCCAGCTCCACAGTCCTCCCTACCCGCCTCAACGTCGTCTACCATCATGCAACCCTTCCAAGAATCTGCTGGACTCTCTCCTGTCTATCCTGATCCAATCAAAGGATTTTCCGTTTAAAATAAACCACATTTATTTCTGTACCACGTGGTGCAAATGTAGAAGTCAGAAGACAACCTACTAGAATGGGTTCCTTCATTCCACCATGTGGTTTCTGGGGAATCAAACTCAGGTATTCAAGCATGGCTGTAATAACCTGTAGCCAATTAACCACCGTGCTTTCCCAGACCAGAAGATTCACAAAGGGTTGGTAAATCGACCGCAGGGGATGGGAATAATGTCCACTTTATAGATGTGGAAACTGAGGCTCAGATAGCTAAACGAAGGCTGGGAATGTGGGTCAGTAGTAGGGCACTAGCCTAGCGTGTAAAGTCCTAAGATTCAATCTCCAAAGTCCTAAGATTCAGTCTTCAGTCTCAGAAGAGACAGAGTATGAAGGATGGTTCAGCGGGTTAAGGCACTTGCTACCAAGCCTGCCGACCTGCTTTCAGTCCCTGGGACCCACGGAGGAGAGAACTGACTGCTGTAATCTGTCCTCTGACCTCCACACATGCACTGTGACACATACATGCCCCATCGCTAAATCAAACGTCATATCAGAAAAACAGAATACACGAAGTCACACAACCCAGTCCGGACATATGTACGTGTATGCTCATGTTCGTGACAGCCCCCACGGTGGGCACCTGAGGCTGGTGGAGCATGGCGCCAGCAGCTGGGGCAGGCGCTGGGTGAGCAGAGGCTGCAGAGCCTCCCGCAGGCGGCTGTAGTGGCGTTCCAGTTCCCGGTGGTACTCCTTCTGGTCCGGCCCAATCAGGGCCTTGTTCTTTCTCAGTGCGTCCTCACACCTGGGGGTCAGGGGGAGGCTGCTGGGGGCTGGCACTCAGGAGAGAGCCAAAACAGAGGCTAGGGAGTCCTGAAGGATGTGGGGCGTGGGGACAGGCATGCCAAGGCCCACAATGGGGCCTGTGAATTTAAAATAGGGAGTCAGGCTGGGTACAGCAGGGAGTCAGGATGGGTACAGCAGGGAGTCAGGCTGGGTACAGCAGGGAGTCAGGATGGTACAGCAGGGAGTCAGGATGGTACAGCAGGGAGTCAGGATGGTACAGCAGGGAGTCAGGATGGCAGGGTTATAATAGCCAGCGTACTTCTTGCAGAAATCCTTGAAGCAGAGCCGTAGTTTGTTGTGATGTCGGAAGAGTTTGGGATCTTCTGGGATCTCTGCCAAAAATACCTGGGCCACTTCCAAGGGACCCTACTGGGTGAGAAGATTCATGAAGACCTACCTAAGTGGCACTAGAAGGCCCAGGGTAGCCAGCATCCCACGCCCAGAAACGCCTGCCCTGCCTGGTTCACAGTGGGTCCCACAGAGCCCTGCAGGACCATCTGCAGCATCTTGGCATCTGGAGGATCCTGCTCAGTGGCAAAGGCCAGCTCCCGTGTCTTCTTCTGCATATCCTCAATGGCCACCTCCACTGGTGTCAGCACCGTCTGTGGGGTGAGCAGGGTATGTACATATGGATATGTGTGTCTGTGTTGGGGTGCACATGCTGGGGCCTGCCATGACCTGGACAAGCCACCCCAAGGTAGCTGGAATTGGGATAGGAGGGTGGTCTCAGGCCATGAACAGTGCTGGGGATTTGTGCTCCCTTGGGTGGGTCTTGACTCAGCTGTCTGGTTCACACGCTGCCTGCCCTTGAGTCTGGGGACTCTAAGGTTGAGTCTATCCAGCCCTGGTGGTAGAGGCTTGCATTTGGAGTCTACAACCTGGGGTCCTTGTATTTCCCAAACCCTATCTCTCTCTCCTGAATCCAGGGTCCCTGAAACGCATTGTTTGTGGCTTCCTCTACCTTTTTCTCTCCAAGTCCTCAAGTTCCTCTACCTTTTCCTCCCTGGACCTCGAGTCCCGGTATCTCCCCTTCTTGGGTCTGAAGCCTCCCGCTACCGTTCCCAGGCCTGGGGTCCCACCTCCTCACGGTGGCACACGCGGATGCGTGTCTTGATGTAGGGAAAGGCGTGCTCCGTGCTCAGCAGGGTCTTCCGTTTGTGCTGCTCTGCCAGCTCCCCGTGCGCACGCCCGTCTGGCGTGAAAGGCGTGCAGAAGAGGAAGGCCCGCAGCCCATAGTTGCGGTCAAAATAGGTCACCCGGTCCTTGAGCTCGTAAGGGTCAAAGTGCGGCTCCACGTAGGTTATCTGGATATAGGCCTGGGGCACAGGGTCATGTATTAGTCTGGGAGCAGCCTGGGGTCCGCCTGACATCACAGCTCCAACCAGAGGTCCTGGTCCCTCTGGACTGGAAGGCTTTGAATCTAGAGCCCAGATCTCCCTGATTCTGGATGCACAGGAATCACCTGAGAAACAGGACTTGCCCCAGCCCCTCCCAAACAGTATTGCAGACCCCTTCAATATAGGATCTTGGGGAGACGGTCAGAGGACCCACCTTCTGTGGGTCCAGCTTGGACTTGTCCACTGGGTTAGAATCTTTGATGATCTCTACCACATCGTCCCCGAATCTCTCCGTATAGAACTCCTAGAGACATGGGGTTGACTCGGGCCCGGCGGGGGCAGCCCCCACTATAACCCACATGGCCTGTCCCACCTCCCAGTGCCAGGACATGCCTCCAGTCGGTGTGAGATCTCTGCCAGCTTTGTGATTGACGGCTCCTTGTACACAAACTCTTGTTCATCCAGGTCACCAAATCGTGCACCATAGAAGCCCACTCGGAAATATGTCCCGAATACGCGCTGGGCTGAGGGAAGCCAGTAGTGTTGGCACCGAGGCATCTCTGCAGGTGCCGCCACCCCAGACACACTCAGGGTGGGGTGGAGAGGACAAGGTGGGAATGGGGAACCCTGAGAACCGCAGGAGCCCGTCTGAGGACCTCGGAAACAGTGAGCTAGACTAACATGCCAGGGGACCCAGATCACAGCCAGATGCAGCCACCATCATTTTGTGTGTGTGTTGACGACTGAGCCCAGAGCCCCCCACATGCTAGGGAAGCACTTCATGGCTGAACCACACCTCAGCTCCCCACTGGAAGATTCTAGGTTGGGGCTCTATGGTTGGGCTAAGCTTCCAGTCACTTCCTTTGTAAAAATCATTTCTTTATTTGAG